GTACATTGTAGAATCACTTTTCACTGCAATAGCTGATGCACCATTTCTGTATCTGCTTCTAGCATCCCATCTCCAGAGAAAGCCAAAGAAAAATTTACTCATTCTTCTTTGCAAAATAACTCAGTCAAATCTTGCCACAGATTTGAAATTGAGTTAAGACTTTGACTAGGCCATTTTAACACATAAAAATATTTTCATCTTTACTCATTGTTCGGTTTAAGTACAACTAGTGGAACATGGGCTGCCTTCATAAGATTCTTTGGTATTTTGAATGCCAATCAAATTAATCATTGCAAGCTGAATTGTGATGTAAAGCTAATAGGCACAAACAGCCAACGGAGGCATTTTTCTAGAGCCTTGATCTTTGCTTTAATCAAATATAGCTGGAAAGTGAAGCGAAGGACTGTGGACTAGAAACAAGTGCTTGTGGCTGCATATACTGTGTTACCTTTGCCACAGAATTCAGGACTTGGAACTGGAAATTATATATTTGCCAAATGCTGTGTTCAGTAATCGGTGTGGCAACACTTCCACTGTCAGAAGTCGAACAGTACTATAAATGGAGTTGATTAAAACACCAATAAAGACACTCAGGGGTATTTCTCCCTAGACAGCTGCAAGACGCAATGCCTAGATTACATAACTAAACAGTTTATTGTGGCACTTTTCACTAAGTTTTACACAAATAGCAGCCGTACTGAATTTGTATTTGTTTGATGCAGAGATGATGAGAAATGTCCAACTCTATGCCATGAAATTGTGTATTTTGCTTTTTTGGAAAAATCTACTTTTGAGCACTAATAGAATGCACAGCTGAACCCTAGCAACAATATGCAATAAACTGGAATAGTTTTTCATGCAGCTGTTTTTAATTAACTACTTTTAGATTGTTAGTTAGGAAACTTGTTTTTTCTGTGGTGGTACTTCTTAAAATCTTTGGGAACTTCTGCTCTAAGCCCTTCTGTTGTAGCTCTGACTGTTTATTTAGGGGTTTGTTGTCCACCTAGAGGATAAACCTCAAGTTTTGCAGGCTTTAGGTTTCTTCCAGGATTGTCTTTAAAGCGTTTTAGCTCCATGTATATTATCATCAACTGTGACAAGTTTCACTGTCCCTGCTAAATAAAACCATACCCACAGTATGATGCTGCCACCACAATGTCTGACAATTGGAAGGGTGTATTTACAGTTTTTAGAATGATTTATATTTACAAAAAGTAAAACAAAAACATATATTTTTCCTTCAACTTCACAATTATGCACTAATTTGTGATGTTCCATCATAAAATCCCAATTAGATACACTGAAGTTTATGGTTGTAACAACAAAATGTGAAAACATGTTCGGTGGGTGTGATGATCTCTAGGTGAAATGGCTTAGGCATCATGCTTCATGCTTTCCATATAAGTTCTGCCCTGCATCGTCTTCATCTTCTGAGTGACTCATTACATGGCCTTTAGAAAGCTCAATCAGCTGCTCCTGCATGTAAACAACTCACCCGCTGGCATGGTTCTTCATCAGAACAGATGTTGACAGAGCCTGAAGTACCAGCAGAGCTTATTTAGATGGCACAGCATTCAAACCAGGATAGCAAAGGTTAACAAAATCAGACACAAACTAATTGAAAACAGCCATGTTGCTGGAACTAAGACAAGGAATAAAACTGAGGACTAACAAATAAATTAGAAAATATAAAAAGAGACTTGCAGTTGCAGTTCTTGTCTTTGTAAAATTGGATCTCTTAACTTTCGATGATTATGTTCCTGGGACAAGAACCAGAAGTTGATGAATGCTCTCTGGATCCCTGAAATTTACCAGCTACATTATATCTCTGTCTGAAACTGAACATACATCCTCAGTTTTACATTTGACATTTCTGCTTTAAACATTCTGTTGGTACTTTTTGCTTTATTTTACAAGAAATTGCAGTACAGCTGCAGCTGGGACACAGAGGTGCTGGTATCCTTCGACGAACATATGGATTTATTAGAACAGCTTAAAGCTATGTAACTTCTTCAGAGATGCTTTGACAGTAGTTCCAGTTTGATGTGATTCAGCTGGGCTGTGTGTAGAGCAGGTGTAAACAGGTTTTAAAAGCAGATGAATAGACCTGTGCTGAGCAACACACACACACACACTCGCACCCTCATATTTACACACACCTTAACACCGGAGGATTTTTCTGAGATAAAAGAATTTCCTTATTTTTATCCCTCTCCCACAGAAGCGAACCTCACCTGTGTGTGATGCAGATTTAGAGTGAATAATGTTCTCGATCATACTGAAATAGGGGCTGTTTGAAATTTCTTCTTGGCTGTTTTGATGAAATGAATTCCACACTATAGCTCTGACACAATTTCTGAGATCCAGTACCTCCGTTGTATTTCTTGGTATTGAACTGCCAGATTTAAAGCACATTCATTTTTTTCCCTTTATCAGTATTATGATGTATTAGTGCTGCCTCTCACTCATTTTCATTAACGATTTACAGCGATTTCTTCCTGAATTTTATAGGTTTGGTCCGGCATTAGATTCTCACAATATATTAACCTTGAGTAAAAATACCACGGTTTCACTATATTTACATAAACATTCAAATAAATATGAAATCATTATTTTTACAGTTAACAAATGTTATCTATAACTTTTAATTATTTTCAATAAACAGTCACTAAATTTATCAGTAGCCCACTGAGCAATATACTATATTTCATCTTTGAGGCCACACGTAGACTTTACTTAGACATGAGTCAATGGTAACTATACGTGGCCCTGATTTAGATGGAGAAATTTTGTCTGCAATATTTTATCTTCTTTTAGACCAACCAAAACTGTTTTGGTCTAAATATGGTGCTGTTAAACATTGGAGCTGTACAGGCTGTGCTCTGACAATGATCACTTTCAATTTGTTTTCATATATAAAAAATTGTCAGTTGTTCAGCATGATACAAAATTTCCTATAAAATTACTAAACTGCTACAATACTACAAAAGTTACTAATTTATGATGGTTATAAAGAAACTATGAACATTAAAAGCTTTTTTTTAATTTATTTCTTTGTCCATGATTAGGTGTGCTCCTTTAGCATCTGATATGCACACAAATTACGTAACTGCAAAAGGTGCTACAAAGACAAGCTCGATCTTGTTGGAAAGGTGAGTTTCTCTAGTTTCCAATTATACTGGACATGGGGGATTGTTTAAAAGAATGTTTTCTGTAGCGTTTCATTCACAGAGTCAGCCATGTCTGAAGGACCTTTAAATGTCATCACGTGTGTTTATGTCATCGCATGTCTTTAAGTTGCTGTAAAACTCACGTTTTTTGTGCAAAACCTATTTAGGGAATTGTTTTATGAACATTGAAGCCTCCTCATACAAAGGATTTAGGAAAACAAAACCTGGCGGCTTTTGATATACTTTTAGAGAAGGCAAAAAATGGGCGTTGTTCTGTTCATACTCGTACCGGTATGCTTGAGCTTGACAGGTTAAGAAAACTCCAGCACCTTCTCTGGCAACTCATTAGAATAACCGTACACTGTAGGCCTAACAGAGAATTCTAGCAGTTTCTAAACTGCAGCTTTTTAAAACCTTAGTTATGCTGGTTATTGGCATATGCCTCATTTCAAACCAAGATTATGGTTCCCAATACAGGATGTAAAGTACACCCATGGAGAACAGCCAGTAACTGAGACAGTCCCTAAAATGAGAAAAGTGTTTTTCACCATTGAGTTAGCCCCCCAACTCATCTCCAGAGGCTCTGCACTGCTGTAGTCTGCTGCTTCCAATATGAGGACTTCACTGCATGCACTGAATGTGTAACTAGGCACGGATATACCAATAGACTGACTTCATTAGCTCAAAGCAAACGGTTCTATTTTTAATTATGCTCTATATTTTGGCATTAATAAATCATTACCTCATGGATTTTGGGACATTTGGGTAATTACTGTAAACAAGTATTACAAACTGAGTGGTCTGTCGGTTTAATTTTACAAAGCATCACTGAACGGAAATTCTCTGGATTTGTTCAAAGGAAGATTGACTATTTGATCCTAAGGAGCCTATGGGACTGTGAGACCTCCTATCATTGTTTACCATAATTACATCTCTGTACTGTACTCTTATACTAATAAAGCCACACTAAGTTGTTTTTAGCATCTACAGAATTAAGCTGTTAGGCTTGAAAGCGCTTAATGAATAAATGTATGTTTCACTGTTGATTTATTTTTTGTGTGTGGTGGCATTGGATCAAAGAGTTAATTACAAAACATATACAAATAGTCCTCTGGAAAAATAAAAAGATTAAAGACAACTGGCAATCTGAGCAACACATAATCAGTAGAAAAACCAAAACAGAAATGTTAAATGATTGTGGGAAAAACAATATTCATAATTAGTGTTTTCTGTAAACTTGTTGCATAAATACATCAACTCCAGGTCAAGGGATTTTTCACAATTTGCAGATAACTACAGCTGCTGATTTCTCTCGGAACACTTCCGTTCTGTCAATTTTGTTTTCATTTGGATGTGTTACTGGTCTGTGATACATCTATAGCATCCTTTAGTGGCATTTCACCTTCCTTAACGAGACTGTTGTTCCTTATAGAGACCAAAGCTTTGTCCTCAAACAGTGGAACAATATGCTTGGCTTAGGGGGTTACAGCAGACCCTAGCAATTCATGGCTCCCTGGTCACATAATTTGTTCCCAACCAGTCTGCCTGAAGTCAATGGATAACGAGAAATCATGTACACTATTGGTCAAAAGTTTTAGAACCCCTTTCTCATTTAATGGTTTTCTTTATGTTTATTGTACTTAGATTCTCACTGAAGGCCCTGTGAATGAACACACATGAAATTATGTAGCAAACAAAAAACTTGTAAAAGAACTCTAAATATTTTTTTATATTTTAGATTCCTCAAAGTAGCCCCCTTTGCTGTGATGACTAATATGTTTGACTGGTAGTGTATACAGATGCACTACTGGTCACGGTCAACTGCAGGGTGCACGGTGGCGCAGTCGGTAGCACTATTGCCATGCTGCAAGAAGGTCCTGGGTTCGACTCCCAGCCTTGGGTCTTTCTGCATGGAGTTTGCATGTTGTGCATGTGCATAGTTTTTTTGTCCAGGGTGTACCCTGCCTCTCGCCCGTAGACTGCTGGAGATAGGTACCAGCTCCCCCATGACTCACTATGGAATAAGCAGTATAGAAGATGAATGAATGAATGTATAAAGATGTTCATTTAGGACCCACATTCACATGTGCTGCTGTTATTTTAAAAGCTACCAGCAGCTGCTTTGTGCAAGGCTTTCTTGGTTAAAATGCCTTGTTTAAAAAGCCCACAGATATCACAGAAACTGTCAGTCAGAAAAGTCAGCACATTGTTCATAATTTCATCCTCCTTGACATAAACTGTACTGTAGATATGATGTTCCTTTGTTGATAAGCAGTACTGTGTATGCAAAAAGCATATCGTTAAAAAAGTTAAACTTTGTTTTCATCTGACAATAACACATTCTTCCAAAGCATTTTTTGGAGACTTTTCATTTGAAAGAAAAGGTTTCAACTGTATCTTGCAACCCTACCCATTATTTTATTACAGGAGATTTCTATCACATGTAGGACAAATCATTATTGCCCAGAAATGCCGTTTATAACCTTTATCCTCAACAACACTGCGTATCCTGTGGACCACTTCCGGTTCCTGGGAACCAACATTTCTTGAAACCTGAGATGGTCCTCACACATAGACAATGTTTAGAAGAAGGCCCAGCAGAGACTGTACTTCCTGAGGTAACTTAAGAAGTACAACCTTCCACAGGAGCTGCTGGTCATCTTCTACAATATCATAATTCATTCTGTCCTGTCTTCATCCATCTCAGTGTGGTTTGGCTCATCCACCTAACAGGACAGGTCCAGACTGCAACAAACAATCAGGTCTGCAGAGAGAATCAGCAGGACTGACCTTCCCTTTATCCAGGACTTATATAGGTCTATGGTCAGGAAAAGGGTAGCTAAAATATCTGCAGACCCTACACACCCTGTACACAAACTGTTTAGGCTTTTACCTTCAGGTTGGCGCTACAGAGCGCTGTCTGCTAAAACCAGCCGCCACAGAGACGGGTTCTTCCCCCAGGCTGTTTCTCTGAACCCATGACAGTCAGAGTTTCAGTAAAACACCATGCAGACTTTGACTGATCTCACATTCCATTCTATTGTAAAGTCAATTGTGTAAAAAGATGTTCTTTTTTCCACTATTATACACTGCCTGGCCAAAAAAAAAAAAAAATTTGCCACCTGAATTTAACAAAGCAAGAATTTAACAAAGCAAAGGCATGAGCCTCTCATTGGATAATTACTGCATGGGGGATTATCTTTCAGCTGGCAATAAGTTATTTAACCCCAACTGGTGCAATTAATTGCTTCTCATTTCTTAAACAACCATGTCGAAAGACACATCCTGTGGTCGTGGAAAAGACGTCAGTCTGTTTCAGAAGGGTCAAATCATTGGCATGCATCAAGCAGAGAAAACATCTAAGGAGATTGAAGAAACTACCAAAATTGGGTTAAGAACTGTCCAACGCATAATTAAAAACCGGAAGGATAGTGGGGACCCATCGTCTTCGAAGCAGAATTGTGGCCAGAAAAAAATCCTGAATGATCGTGGTCGACTATCACTTAAACGTTTGGTGAAATCAAATCGAAGAAAAACAACAGTAGAACTCCGGGCTATGTTTAATAGTGAAAGTAAGAGCATTTCCACACGCATAATGCAAAGGAAACTCAAGGGACTGGGATTGACCAGCTGTGTAGCCTAAATAAAGCCACTAATCAGTGAGGCTAACCAGAAAAAAAAGGCTTCAGTTTGCTAGGGAGCACACTGAAGCAAAGGATTGGACTCTGGAGCAATGGAAAAAGTTCATTTGGTCTGATGAGTCCAGATTTGCCCTGTTCCAGAGTGATGGGCCCATCAGGGTAAGAAGAGAGGCAGGTGAAGTGATGCACCCATCATGCCTACTACCTACTGTCCAAGCCTGTGGGGGCAGTGCTATGACCTGGGGTTGCTGCAGTCGGTCAGGTCTGGGTTCAGCAACAGTATGTGTTCAAAGAATGAGGTAAGCTGACTACCTGAATATACTGAATGACCAGGTTATTCCATCAATGGATTTTTCTTCCCTGATGGCATGGACATATTCCAGGATTCATCGGGCTGAATTGTGAAAGAGTGGTTCAGGGAGCATGAGACATCATTCTCACACATGGATTGGCCACCACAGAGTCCAGACCTTAACCCCACTGAGAATCTTTGGGATGTGCTGGAGAAGGCTCTGCGCAGCGGTCAGAGTCTACCATCATCAATTCAAGATCTTGGTGACAAATTAATGCAACACTGGGTGGAAATAAATCTTGTGACATTGCAAAAGCTTATCAAAACAATGCCACAGCGAATGTGTGTCGTAATAAAAGCTAAAGGCGGTCCAACGAAATATTAGTGTGTGAATTCTTTTTTTGGTCAGGCAGTGTATATATACACAAAAAATAAAAAAATAAAAATCTTCATTGAGAGCACAGTGTACGGAGCCAAATGTCTTGTTTGGATAAACTTGGTAATAAAGCTGATTTTTATTCTGTTTTATGACTGTCTTTACTTTGCTGCTTTATATATATAGATATGTTGAGGAATTATTTTGTACAATTAGATCTTATTTATTGTCTCACTGTACTATGGCTTTAGCTAGATGATGCAAATCAGACAATGTTAGGAAAATAATACTAAGACACTTCAATCTCATTTGGGGTTACTAATATTTGCTTTAATATGATTAGTTGAAGATAGAATGCTGTTACTAAATCTAAAGGTGCTTCATCAAAATATTAGTTAAAAGATGTGCGCACTCATTCAACCAAGTAACTGCATTTTTTTTTCCTTTTAACCTCATATGGAAAAAAAAATATTGAAATACAATCTGCAGAGGGTCATAGGGTGGCGACAGTAAGAAGCACAACCTCATGGAACACTTTATCGGTATCCTCTGACTCCTGTTCTGAAGGATTATTTCTTTACATGTGATTTTTACAGTGTATGTGTGGTACTGTTTAAGTGTGATACATTGTCTTGCAATGATTTGTGGGATGTCCTGTGAAATGTTTCAAAATGTGTCTTTTTGTATTTGTCATTTATGGTACCTGCCGTAGTACTAAATATGTAAATTAGCAATAGTGTTAATTTTATGTTGATGCTTATCAGAATCAGAATCAGAATCAGAATCAGCTTTATTGCCAAGTTTGTACATACAAACAAGGAATTTGACTCCGGTACACTTTGCTCTTTGGTTTTTTTTTTTGCACTACAGAATATACATAAAATTTACAATGTACAATATACACAATAAATAAAAAAAGGTGCATTTGCAAAAATTGTATGCTCCCCCGTTTTTTTGTATTTTTTATTGAATGTTCAACAGAGAAACAGCCTGGGGGAAGAAAATGTCTCTGTGGGGGGCTGGTTTTTTGTGAACAGGGCTCTGTAGCGTCGGCCTGAAGGCAGAACTCTAAAACAGTTTATGTGCAGGGTGTGTGGGTCTGCAGAGATTTTAGCAGCTCTTTTTCTGACCCTGGACCTGTATAAGTCCTGGATGGAGGGAAGGTCAGCCCTGATGATTCTCTCTGCAGACCTGATTGTTCGTTGCAGTCTGGACCTGTCCTGTTTTGTGGATGAACCGAACCACACGGAGATGGATGAAGACAGGACAGACTGAATGATGGCAGTGTAGAAGATGACCAGCAGCTCCTGTGGAAGGTTGTACTTCTTAAGTTGCCTCAGGAAGTACAGTCTCTGCTGGGCCTTCTTCCGAACAGTGTCTATGTGTGAAGACCATCTCAGGTCCTCAGAGATGGTGGTTCCTAAGAACCTGAAGTGATCCACAGCCGACACGGTGTTGTTGAGGATGGTGAAGGGGGTGTATGGAGGTGGTGTTTTCCGAAAGTCCACCACCATCTTCACAGTCTTGAGTGGGTTTAGCTCCAGGCAGTTCTGACTACACCAGTGTACCAGCCGATCCACCTCCTGTCTGTATGCAGACTCATCACCGTCCTGGATCAGTCCAATGACAGTGGTGTCATCTGCAAATTTCAGGAGTTTCACGGACGAGTCTGCTGAGGTGCAGTCATTTGTGTACAGGGAGAAGAGGAGTGGGATAGAACACATCTCTGGGGGGCACCAGTACTTATTGATCTGGTTCGGGAGAAGATGCTCCCCAGTCTCACCTGCTGCTGTCGGTCCGTCAGGAAGCTGTTGATCCACTGACAGGTGGAGGTTGGGACGTTGAGCTGAGTGAGCTTCTGGTGGAGGATGTCTGGTATGATGGTGTTGAAGGCCGAGCTGAAGTCTACAAACAGGATCCTGGCGTAGGTCCCTGGGTGGTCGAGGTGTTGCAGGATGAAGTGTAGACCTAAGTTAACAGCATCATCTGCCGACCTGTTTGCTCGGTACGCAAACTGCAGGGCGTCCAGTAGAGGGCCTGTGATGTCTTTCAGGTGCTTCAACACCAGCCGCTCAAAGGATTTCATGACCACAGACGTCAGGGCTACAGGCCTGTAGTCATTTAATCCTAGGATGGTGGGTTTCTTGGGCACTGGGATGATGGTGGATCGTTTGAAGCAGGAGGGGACCTCACACTTCTCCAGTGACTTGTTGAAGATCCGGGTGAAGATTGGAGCGAGTTGATTTGCACAGGCTTTCAGGCATGATGGGGAGACGTTATCAGGTCCTCCAGCTTTCTTTGTTTTCATGCGCTGAAAGAGCCTGTTTACATCTTCCTCAGAGATCTTTAGTGCAGGCAGAGGATCTGAAGGTAGGGGGTTGGTTGCTTTGCTGGTCGAACCTGTTCCTGAATGGGATGTGGAGGAGTTGGTTTGAGGTGTGAATGGCTTCTTGTCATGTCTGCAGTAGAAGCCATTCAGACGGTTGGCCAGGCGAGGACTTTGTTCAGGAAGGGTGGTGGGGCTTCTGTAGGCAGTCAGGTTTCTCAGACCAGTCCATACAGCCGAAGTGTCACCAGTAGAAAGACTGTTTTTCA